CTAGGAGCAGAGGTCCCTAGGACCATCAAGGGAGAAGAGCAGAGAGCGGGACCCTACCCAGAGAAGCAGTGATGCCTGAAATGGAGCCAGAGATGATGATGTGGAGCGATGGAGCAGCTGGAGACTTTAGATCCAGAGAGGGAGAGCGACTGTGTGCTGAAGACCTGGGGGGTATGGGGGGCAGGCTTGCAGGGTATACCCTTTGGTTGGTTGATGATGCATGGAGGGTATTTTAACCATGGCAATGAGGTGATATACGATAAAATGAATGTAAAATTAATGTTCTCCCATGTAAACTATCACATAATTCACAATAAAACATTTAAGAAAAGAAAAGAAAAAAAAAAACAAAAAACACAGTGAGGTACCATCCCATAACCACTAGGATCGCTGTTATTCTTGTTAGATGCTGTCGAATTGCTCAGACTCATGAGACCCTATGAACAACAGAACAAAACACTGCTCAATCCTGCTCCTTTCTGACAATTGCTATGTTTGAGCTCATTGGAGCCGCCACTATTTTAATCCATCTCTTTGATGGTCTTCTTCTTTTTCACGGACCCTCACTTTACCAAACATGATGTTCTTCTCCAGGGATTGGTCCTTGCTGACAACATGTCCCAAGTACGAGAAACAAAGTCTTGCCATCCTTTCTGCTAAGGAACCTGTCTTCCAAAACAGATTACTTTGTTTTTCTAGCAGTCTCTGGTACTTTGGATTCTCTTTGCCATCACCATAATTAAAATACATCAATTCTTTCACTGTCTTCCTTATTCATTGTCTAACTTTCACATGCATATGAAGTGATTGAAAATGTGGTTTGGGTCAGGTGTACCTTAGTCCTCAAAAGGCGTCTTTGCTCTTATAATTTAAAAAAGGTCTTCTACAGCATGTTTGCCTAACAAAATACATCCTTTGATTTCTTGACTACCTGTTACCATGAGCATTGATTGTGGAGCCAAGTAAAATGCAGTTTTTGAAAACATCACTGTTTATCATGATCTTGTTTATTGGTCCAGTGGTGAGGATTTTTGTTTTCTTTATATTGAGATGCAATCCATACAGATTTCTATCAGAAAGTATTTCAAATCCTCTTTGCTTCAAGCAAGGAAGATTGTTTTATTGCCATATCAAATGTTTTTGATGAATTTTCCTCCAATTGTGATGCTAGGTTCTTCTCTGTATAATGCAATTTCCCAGATTATTTGCTCAGCATACAAATTGAATAAGTATGGTGAAAGGATGCAACCCTGAAGCACACCTTTCTTGATTTTGAACTATTCAGTATCCCTTGTTCTGTTCTAACTGTTGCCTCTTGGCCTGTGTACAGGTTCCTCACATGCACAATTAAGTGTTCTGGAATTTCCATTTTTCTCAATGCTATCCATAGTTTGCTGTGATCCTCACAGTGTGACCTTTCTGATGCCATCCCACAACTACTATAAATGCCTTTTCATAGTCAATAAAGCACAAACAAACATCTTAATGGTAGTCTCTGCTTTTATCCAAGATCCATCTGGCATCAGCAATGATATCTCTCATTCCACGTCCTCTTCTGAATCTGGCTTGGATATCTGACAGCTCCTTGTTGATACATGCTGCAACTGTTTTTAAATTAGCTTCAGTAAAATTCTACTGGCATGTGATAATAATGATATTGTTCAATGATTTCTACATTTGGTTTGCTGCATTTTTTTGGTATGAGCACAAATATGAATCTCTTTCAATCAAATGGCCAGATAGTTGTCTTTCAAATTTCTTGGTATAGAGGAGTGAGCTCCTCCGGTGTATCAGTTTGTTGATACATTTGTAATTTGTTGATTCTTGGAACCTTGTTTTTTGCTACGCCTTCAGTACAGCTTGAACTTCTTCCTTCAATATCATTATTTCTTGATTATAGTCTACCTCTTCAACTGACTTAACATCGGTCAATATTTTTGGTACATTGCTGTTGTTGTTGTTAAGTGCCATTGAGTCGAGTTCCAACCCATAGCGACCCTGTATAGGGTTTCCAAGGAGCTGGTTCAAGTGGACTTTGCAGTCACATACAACCAACAGTGCCTCATCATTACATTGAGTAACTCTGTGTAATTCTTCCATCGTTTTTGATGCTTCCCACATCATTCAATCTTTTGCCCATCCAAACTCACACTTACTGCCATTGAATCAATTCTGACTCAGAGACCATGTATAGTGTTTCTGAGTTTGGAAATTTTTATGGGAGCAGAAAGCTTCATTTTTCTCCCTTGGTTAGCAGTCAAGTGTTTATCTTATGTAGAATCCTTCATTACTGCAAATTGAGGTTTGAATTTTTTCTTCAGTTCTTTCAGATTGAGAAATGTTGAGCATGTTCTTCCTTTTTGGTTTTCTGCCACTAGGTATTTGCACATTTCATTATAATACTTTATTTTGTCATCTCCAGCTGCCCTTTTAAATTCACATTTTCTGTTCAGCTCTTTGATTTCATCCTTTCTTCTAGTAACTTTAGCTTCTTTACACTCCAGAATAAGTTTCAAAGTCTCTTCTCACATCAATTTGGGTCTTTCTTTCTTGACTTTTTAATGACATTTTGCTTTCTTCATGTATGATGTTTCTGATGTCATCCCACAACTACTGTGGTCTTTGGTCATTACTGTCTAATGCATCAAATCTGTTCTTGAGATGATCTCTAAATTCAGGTGGGATATACTCAAGGTCATATTTTGGCTCTCTTGGACTTGTTGTAATTTTATTCCATTTCAGCCTGAACTTATGTTTGAACAATTGATGGTCCATTCCACAGTTAGCCACCAGCCTTGTTTTGACTGATGATATTGAGTTTTCCCATCATTTTTCTACAGATGTAGCTGGTTTGATTCTTGTATAATTCATCTGTTGAGGTCCATATGTATAGTCAACTTTTATGTTATTGAAAAAGATTTTTGCATCAAATAAGTCATGTGTCTTGCAAAATTCTATCATGTGATCTCCAGGATCATTTTTATCACCAAGACCATATTTTCCAACTACCGATCCTTCCTCTGTATCCAGTTTTTTCATTCCAGTTACCGTTAATAATTAATGTATCTCTATTACATGTTTGATCAATTTCAGACTGAAGAAGTTGGTAGAATTCTTCAGCTTCAATATCTTTGGCTTTAGTGCTTGGTGCATAAATTTAAGAAGAATATTATTAAGTTTAATTTTTTGTAGCCATATTTATATTATCTTATCACAGACAGTAGTCCTAGTGTGGCACTGTAAGATAAGCATTGGATGGCTAACCACTAGGTCAATAGTTTAAATCCACCAGCTAAT